AGCAGATCAGAAATGCAGAGGCCAGGTTCTCCCAGCAGGCTCAATCCCCTTCCGTCACCTTGGCAGAGGCCCCACACCGCACCTGCCAGATGGGATCCCTGAGGTACCCATGGAGGCTGGGCACCATGCCAGTCCTCTATCCAAGAACACCACCACCTGACAGGCTGCCAGGAACAGCCAAGCCCCTCGGACCTTGCTCCCAGGAATCCAACCACACAGAAGGCAAACATGCCAGATCTCATGATCATACTAACATGCCGGTGAATATGCCCCCAGATACACAGCTGTGGCAGGGGAGCCAAATGCTTTCTGAGGACACACCATGACAGTGGTGGCAGACACACATCTTCACAGCTCAGACTTACTAAAAAACGTTACAGGCCTGTGGGTGTTCAATACCATGCCAGGGACAACGGTGGTGGTGGTGTCTCCTCTCTCAGGAAGCATATGACTTAGTCCAACAAACAAAATGGACAAATGATTAAGTACCACCTAGTGGGGCTGGACCTAGAGACCTCTGGATCTCAGAACCATGGGCTGACGTGGTCCGGGAAGGTGGCCTTGGAAAGGTAAGGAGCATTTATTTATTTATTTTTGTTACAGATATTTCTACTTTTTTTCCCTATTGACACTCTCCTCCCCATCCCCCCACCACGCCTTGCTTGGCTTTGTTGTCCGTGTCCATGGTTATGCGTACATGCATATAAGTTCTGTGGTTTATCTCTTCCCTCCCCCCAAGGTAAGGGGCAACAATTTAGGGTAAACAATGTACTCCAGGGGAAGGAAGACTAAGATCAAGGCCCTGCTTGGTGTCTGGTGGCCTTTCAACCTGTTTGCCTAAAGAGATTTTCATAGGTGGGGTGTCAGAGGAAAACGGTGACTTTCAAGGACCATTCCAGTAATCTCTCTGCCTCCAGGTAGGAAAGACCTGCTCAGTTTCCAGGTCCCCAGGGAGCCTCCAAGTGCTTGTCCACTATCCAGCTTCCCTTGGGAAGCAAGATACCCTAGGTCCCAGGGGTGGGGTTCTTGTTTTGCATTAGCTGATGTGGCTCACGCTCCCACATGTACAGTGAAGCCAGTCTTGCCATCCTGGCCACTGTGGACTGGACCAGGCGTCCTGTCCAAGCCACACCATTGGGTGGGGCATGCAGGCTAACATTGGACAGCTCTGCCCAATAGGGCTGCACCATACTGAATGGCAGTAAAGCAACCCAATCACATTCTCTTCACAAGAAAGGGAGACTGGTGAACTGGAGGAAGTGAGCCACTTCAGCTTGGTGTATCCTGGGGAAACTGACCTCTTATTCTGGTGCTGTATGAAGCTGGCTCACATCCCAGTCTGTAAATTTTGGGACTCAGAAAAACTGTTGGGCTAGTGAGATGACACCTCACCTTCCACATAGCCTGGCACTCACCCCCTCTTCATGACTAAAGGTTACTTCTTCCCCAGGGCTCCTTAAAGATGGCAAGTCTGATCCCAAGATTCAGGCTGGGTCATCTGGGGAAGGGTGAGGCCTGCAGGACTGGGGTCCAGGGAGGGAGAAAGGAGTAGCCTCTTCTATCCACAGCTGGCTTCTTTTATTCCCCACAAGCACCCACTCCAGACAGCTTCTGAATCCGCAGTGAGCTGTTGATCCAGACTGAACCCTGGCCAGGTAAACAGAATCCCAAAGCTCTCTGAGCCCAGCCTGAGACAGGAGACCAAGACCTTGTCCATAGCTTGGCCAAACCCAAAGAAGGGCAGATTCTTCTGTTTCTTATTATCTTTTCTATAAAAATGTGTCTTGATTTGCAGAGCCAACACAATTTCACACACTTTGTAGCATTTGCTCTGCTCAGTAGCCCAGATACCCTTTGGAAAAAGAGGAAACACAACTTGGATTATCTGCTGGGTCCAAGGTCAAGGCTGACTGAGGACCAGAAGGCAAGCCTAGGAGCTGACCCTTGGCCCAGGCTCTTCTCATGATCACACTCTGCTCCTTCAAGGCAGCCTCCTGGCATCCTGCCTGCATTACCGCCACAGCTCAGGATCATTAGCATGAAGCAAGGCCTCCTGACACCTCTCCAGCAAGTGACAAGCACAGACAGCTGGAGTCTCCCATCAGGGAATCCCACCCCCAATCTTAGATTAGAACAAGGGGCATTCAGAAGACGCAGCACCGGCAGCCACCAGGAATTACCACACATGGTCTCTAAGTCTGTTTCCATATCCTGAGCCTGTAGCAAGTCACACAGCAGGGGGTGTGACACCAGACTGGAACATACACTTGGGGTCTGTGAACCCTCTGAAATTCTTGTAGAGTGAGTATGCTGGTATACTTGTCTGGGAAAAGTGTCTTCCATGACCTCAAAAAGCTTAAGGACTTGAGGTTAAGACCACAGGGATTAAAGATCTCGAATGGACCTCCAACCCTAAGGTTCAGGGCATACACAAATTCTGCAGCCAAACAGACATTATCAAACACAGGAGAAAGTGCCATGCACATGTGGGAGGCTGCTAGTACTCCCCGCCGGTTCGTTATGGCCCACCCTGTGGGTTGGAGACAAGATCACCGAGGGACTGAGCACCCTGAGCTCTGCGTACAGTGTCTCTGCCTACTGTGTCACCAAAGAGGCTTTCCCTGGTCTGACCCCCAAAGGCCCTGGGTGTTCTCATGTCTCTCAGTGACTGCCATTCCCTTTCTGAACATCACTATTTCCAGACTAGAGAAGGAAACTAGAATGAAAAACACAATTTGAGAGAAAGGGCCACTTCGATGCACAACACAGACCCAGCTCAACATTCCTCTCAATAGCCTCAGGGTCCTAGAAAACTGTCTCTCTGTTTCTCACGGACATGTGGACACCCAGTGCTCCCTTCCCACACTGCCTCGGGCCCTGATCTATACATTCCAAGTGATAGGGCAGCTGTCCAGGCCCCTTAGGCATGCCCATCGCTGGCTCTGCAGAGGCTCACAGACCTTACCCACAGCTAGTGGTCAAGGGAGCCAACATGCCAAGAGCTGCGGGGCAAGTCATTCTACTCTTTTCACAAAAAAGGAGAAAGTCTGATTAACCCCATCCTGTCCCCATCAGCCCTCCTGGTCCTACCACTACTAAGGGTGTCAGGCCCTGGCTAGAGGTTAGAGCATCGGCCCGCGGACCAGAGATTCCTGGGTTCGGTTCCTGCTAAGGGCACGTACCTTGGTTGCAGTTTGTCCTCCACCCTGGTTGGGGTCGTGTGGGTGACAACCAGTCGATGTGTCTCTCTCACATTAATGTTTTTCTCTCTCTTCCTCCCTCTCTCCCTCCCACTCTATCTGAAGATAAATGCAAAACAAAACAAACAAACAAAAAAGAAGGATACCAGGAAACCAACATGTCTCAAAAAATGCTCCCTGTCTCAAGGACCCTCTGGGGCCACAGGAACTTATCTATTCTCCAAAAACCAGGGAGAAGGTCAGCTTCAGGATGTGGGATCATACTCAGCCTCAGAGGGACTAAAGGCGTTCAGTGTCTGCCTCCTGTGACAGGCCCACAAGAATGCTGACTTTGCTTTGTTCTTTTCCCCTCCAAGAAGGGCTTGTCTTGACCCCCACCTGTCAGCCTCCTCCACTCTTCCGTTTTCCCAGAAGCACCCACCCCAGTGCTGGGGGAACAAGATGTAGTCAGTAGAATCTTCTTAGTATCTGGTGTACAAATGGGATATGATGGTCTGGAAAATTCATTATTCTGTTTGAAAGCAAAACAATTTCCACAGAGCCCATGCACTGGTTTCCAATTTTTGAAAGACAAAGAAACACACACAGCTAAAGTTATGTGGTGCGTAATGTCATCTTTTTATGATGATTCAATTCAGAGAAGGCACCTGGGAATCCAGCGGCATCTCAGGCCTCATTCTGTTTGGAAAAGCGAGGCAAGAACTCACCACCCCCTGCCCTCCTAGGTCTCTGCTTCTCTCTCCCAGTGCAGTGCACACCTTGGGAACACATATTCCAGGGTTCCAGCATACTAGATATAAGGGGGGGGGTGCCATAGAATGTGCATCTGAGTGGGTTTGAGAAGCTCCTCCTAGGGAGGTGCCCCTATATCCTATTTCATCAGTGATGGGAAAACTTCAGAAAAGCCATGAGATCCCCTCTCCCATCAGCATGGACTCCACCACTAATGGGGTCAATCTAGCAAGAATATGGGCCCCCCAAAGCTGAGTGAAGACAACCTATTTAGTGATGCAAGAGGTACACCCTGCTGCCTCTCTCCCACTCAACAAAATCCATGGACCAGGCCACCCCTCCCTCAAAAGAGAGGAAGGAAGGAAAACAAGCTGAAGGGAGGTGTGGGCCCAAGGGCAGCCCTGAAGTAAAGGGAAATGCCAGATCTGCGGCCACTCACTAACCAGTGAGTGAGGCAGGGACAGGCAGAGGACAGAGCGCTGGCAGCTTCCTGAAGTTTCTGCAGCCAGGTAGTCACACAGGAAACCAATCCAACTCCCTTCTCCCTTCCACTGTTCGGTTGGTGCTCATGGCTAAGCACCTGTCAAAGTTATTCAGGGGAGATAAAACATTGTCTCCCACCTGAAGCTCAATCTAGAATGCCTCCAGGTGCAACGACAGGGGTTGGCATCTCACCAGCCCCAGAGAAGCTATCACGAATTCCTTGAGGACCCTTGGCAGGGGCGACTGCCTGTGGGTAAAGAGGAAGAAAAGCGCCTTGGCCCAGACCTAGCAACCCTCTCCGCATCCCTTCCCAACAACCATCCCTGGGACCAGCCTCTTCTGCCAGTGGAGGAGAGTAGCGGGAACATTATTTCAACAGGTTCCCCGCAGCCCAGCCTTGCCGGGCCATCCTTCCTCCGCCCAGTCCCGAGGCCTCAAATTCCGCGGGAGCACCTGCTGTCAAAACGGGTTCCATTCCCGCGAGAAGGGACCCTGGGCGGTGCCCCTCGGGCTCCTCGGCCTCCTCGGGAAGGGGCGGGGCACCCCGCAGCCGCCGCGCCCCCCGCTCCCCGCAGCCGCTCTCACCTGGCGCAGGTGCTGCAGCAGCGTCCCTGCCTCCTCCTGCCGGCCCTGGCGCACCATCCGCAGCAGCTCCTGGACCATGCTAACGCGCCGGTGGTAGGGGGGAAGCCCCGCGCCGGCGCCCGCGCGCCCCGCCTTGTCCCCGGCGCGCAGCAGCAGCGACGCCCAGAAGTCGGGCCGTTCGCGGCGGGGACCGGGCGCCGCACCGGGGCTGGCTTTCTCCGCCAGGCTGCCCTTGGTCTGCCGGGTGCCCATACCGCCGCGTCCACGACCGGCAGCCCGCCTCCCGAGCTGCAACTTTGGGGGAACTGTTGCGCGCGGGCGGCGCGGGGCGGGGGCGGGGGCGGCGGCGGCTACCCGCGCTCCCCTCGCTCCGCCCTCCACGCTCCCCGGGCGCGCTCCCCCAGCGCTCGCCGCCAGCCGCCGGCCCCGCCCCGGTCCGCCCCGCCCCCGGCTCGGCTCAGGCTCGGCTCCCGCCCCTGAGCCTGCACCGCCCTCCCTCCTTCCCTTCCAGCCTCTTCCCTCTGCTCCCCTCCCCTCCTCTCCCTTCTGCTTCCCGCCCCTCAGCTCCGGGCTGGGGGCGAGCGGGTACCCCCTCCTGCGCCGGCCCCGGCACCGCGCCTCCTGCGGGCCTACGCGCGTGTGCTGGGGCTCAGGGGCGCAGTGGCGCGGTGGCTGCCGGCGCCAGCAGGCCCAGGAGCCATCGCTCTTGGTCCCCACTAGGTTTCCCAGGTGCTTCAGCCACCGCGCGCGAGGGTGAGGCCCGCGGGAGGTGAAGGGAGACGTTTCGTGCACCCTGCTGCATGGAGAAAGGTGAAGCAGGGGGCGGTCTCTCAGCCCCAGAGTCGGGTTTCTCAAGTGGACCCCAAGTGTTCTGAGGTGCTAGTTAAAATCGAAGCTCCCCCCTTCCCTGGACCTTGCCCCAGACCCAGTAAATGAGAATCTCCGCGGTGGCGCCTGGGGACATGCTTTTTTAGATAGCCTTTGCGCTGATTTTGATATACACTCCTTTGACACCTGGCGGCGGTGGCGGCTGCTGCTGCTGCTGCTGGTTGGTGAGTGGACCTGGAAACTATGGGCAAGGCTGTGTGCCCTGTGTGTGCCTTTTTATGAAGAGAGCCCAGCTCTTGCGTCCATCAGTTTCTCAAATAGTCTAGACCAGCGATTTTCAACCCTTTTCATGTCATGGCACCCATAAACTAATTCCTAAAATTCTGCGGCACACCAAAAAATATAGTTTTGCTGATATGACAAAAAAAAAAATAGGTATACTTTTTGGTTCATTCACACCGATGGCTATTGTTGTGTAGGCTGTTGTCACTTTTTTATTTGACAATCTAAGGGAAAAGAGGTCAGTGCCCCTGATTAATAGTCAGGTGTTGCATGTTTTAAAAATTGTGGTGGCACACCAGTGTGCCTGTGGGTCTAGACTGTAAAGGTATAAAGAATTGCTGTCTTTTTTTCTTATGCTCACACCTCTGGAGAAGGTTTCTGGAGTAATCCCCATACAAAAACAAAACAAAACAAAACAACCAGGGGCATGCCCACAAGTAAGCCCAACTGCATACTCCCTGGCCTCCCTCCCTGCCTGGCCACCTCTGCCAGCCTAGCCCATAAGAGACCAGAGCCCTGGAGTCTGATGGTACTTGGAAAGCCATCCAGGGCCCTGCCAGAGAGAAGGCTAAGTAAGGCATCTGGAAGACCTTCCCTGTCACAGACCACAGACTACCCTGTAGGCTGGGGTGGCTGTCCTAGTCTCAGCCACGGGGCTTCCCGGGCAGGAGTTGTGTGTGTGGTTGCCTCTGACCCAAGGCCTGGGTGCTGTTTTAGGAGGAAAGGAGTGTGGATTGTAGGGGCTGGAGAGCCAGATCCCAAATCAGAGAGAGTTGGAACTCACCATGTGCTGACTGCTAAGTATCAGGCAAGCTCGGGTGACTTCCTCTGTCGTGTTGGGGGAAGAATACTCAAGAATTGGGAGAGTAAGATGGGGGTAGGGGGTGTGCAGAAACTCCAAGCAGAGTACAGGTGTTCCGCCAAGGACAGTACCTTTTCCTAGTCAGGGAATAATCATTGGGTTTCCCCATAGATGTTTTCTCTGTCAGTCCTAAATACCTGGAGGGTGAGGTTTGTGTCTCCCCTAGGAGGCTTTTTCATCCCTTAGGATGTCCACTTCCAAATGCCCATTTCTGCTGGCAGAGAACTTTTAATCTTCTTGCCAACTAGCCTCACAGGGCTTAGAGCAGCACCTGCCAAACTTGCCTGGACCCTCTGTGTGTAGAACCTACCTGTTGGCATCTCCAAAGAACTGAGGCTGAAAAACAGTTTGGTGCTTCTCATCTCTGACCGGCAGGACTACCAGGCAAAGTGGCCACTAGGGAAACCTGCTGGCCAGGATCCTCTCTGGGGACAGTGGCCTCTACCCACAGCCTGAGCTAGTAGGTTGGCCTGCTTGAGGGTGTGTGGCTAGGACAAATGTCAACTTAGTGGAAGAGAGCTCAGGCCAATCCCTCACCTGGGATCCCTTTCCTGTTTAGAGATCTAATTTTATCCTCATCAGCTTGCTCTTATTTTTTTTCCCCAACTTTCCCCTCTTTACTGGCTTGTTCTCCTCAGTATCTTCCATCTATGTATTTAAAAAGAAAACTTTCATTGCCCCATCCCCTCTGGTAACTAATGCCCCACCTCTCTCTTTCCTTTTTCACTAAGTGTTGTAGAAATACCTTATATTTATTGTCACACCTTCTTTACCTCCATTCATTTCTCACCCACTCCAGTTGGGCTTCTGGCCCCACCACATCATTGAAATGACTCTTGCCAGTGACCTGGTTGCTAGGCAGCATCTGATTCTGTTGCCTACTCTGTTTTGATGCAAACTCTACTCCCTTGGCTTGTAGTGAACTACTCTCCTCCAGGTTTCCTTCTTGGGGTCCCCTAGGAGCTTCTTTTATCCCCATCCTTTACTTGTTGGTGTTTCCCAGGATGCGGCCTCAGACCTCTTCCTAGGCAGTGTTATTTATATTCGGCTTTATTTGCCATACACACACTGATGACTCTGAGTCTCTTCTTTCCAACTCATAAGCTAATAAGTTAACCTATCACTGACTCATGGATGCTGGCAGGAGACATGAGATTCCTGGGTCAGAGACATTGGACTTTATTATCAAGCAGTCACAGCACACAGCATGAGCATCAGTATATTTGCATCAGTTTCCTTTGCATCTGAGTCCCACAGTGGTAGCTTGATGGGCCCAGATGGATGCTCCACATGCAGCAGGTTTATATCACAGCTGTGGGATACAGAGCTATGGAATCTACTGCTTAGGAAGCAGTGAGCAAGCCTGGAGGGAGTGTGGGGTTGGGGGGTAGGAAGATGGACGTTTTGTAACCTTGTGTTAAGCACTCACCTGACGGGGGCTGGGGGGGGGGACTGGCCCTCCCATGTGTATTGGGTGCTTCATTTGCATGTGAATAGGGTTTGTGATCTTTTGGCTTCAAGGAAATAATTTTAACCTGGGGGTACCAATTTGCGAATAAGTGGGACTGCATCCAGAGGTCTGCAGCATTTGCTCTCTTGCAAAGCTCCCTCTCACTTTAAGCAGCCTGTGCTTGTAGTTTCATTGCGTTGCACCCATCCTGGCAGGCTGAGACAGCAAGTGGTGACCTCGACGTGATTCGGGTACACAGTGGCAAGATTCCACGTGACCAGCAATGTAACGGTAAGCGAAAGGGAAGTAGTGATCTGAATCCAAAGTAAACTTCACTCGAGAAAGAGTTTTCTTGAGCCAGTGACGCCCAGCTTGAGACAGCTGCCTGCATATCTAGTGTTGTGAGGGGTTTCCAGTAAGACAGCATGGGGTTGGGATTTTCTAAAGATAGCGACTTTCTGTACGAGTCTTAGACGGCTGCCGAGAGCGGCTCCGTGCTCCATATCTGAGCGGAAGCTCTTGCAGCTTCTGAGGGAGGTACAGGAGTTCTGCCTGTGGTTCCCTAAGGAGGGCACAATGCATTCTGACATGTGGTTCAAAGTAGGGAAAACTTTTAGGGTGCACAAAGATTTAGGGTATAAAATTTCCACCTCGATGCCCTGGCCAGTTTGGCTCAGTGGTTAGAGTGTCGGCCTGCGGTACAGAGAGACCCGGGTTCGGTTCCCGCTAAGGGCACATACCTCGGTTGCAGTTTGTCCCCGGCCCTGGTTGGTCGTGCGGGTGGCAGCCACTCGATGTGTCCCTTCACATCGATGTTTCTCTCTCTCTCTCTTCCTCTCTCTCCCTCCCGCTCTATCTGAACAAAAAAAAAATGTCCTCGGGTGAGGATAAAAAAAAAAAAAAAATTTCCACCTCGACCCTTCTTTTATGACGACTGGTATTTACAGCACTGCAGCAGCTGACTCAGGAGAGTAGTCCCAGCAGCACGGCAGCTCCAACCTCCCCTTCGGAGGAAATGTCGCCAAGGGAGGAAAGTTTTCCTCCCCCTCCTCCACCTTTTGTGGAAGATTTCTTAGCCTCACCACGCCCAGCAATGGAGGGCTGTCTTACAGAGGCCAGGAAAGCGGGAGATTTGGGGGCTTTCCCAGCTATAAGATAGCCAGGTCAACAAGCTGTGCACGAATGTTTGCCCTATCAGGTTTTTAAAGAATTCAGGCAAAGCATAAAGGAGAATGGTTTGCAAAGTTCCTTTTCTATAGGAATGTTAGAGGGAATAGCTGGTAGTTATCTGATGACTCCCTGGGAATGGATGGCACTAGCAAAAACAGTGTTGCCCAATTAGCCATTTGGAAGTTCAAAACAGAGGTTTGGAGACCTCTGAGCCTCCACAGCAGGGAGTGCCAGCCTGGATCTTATCACCACCACAGAATTAACCCTTAAGGAGTCTGATAACGTTGAGTGTGTGGCCCCTTGCCAGAGGGGAAAGTAGGTTTAGTGATTGGAAGATCTAGTTTAACAATGAAAGGATTACAAGTGATGCCAACGGTAATTGACTCAGATTTTAAAGGAGGAATGAAAGTAATGCTTAAGGCTGTGGGCTTTCATGTATTAACACTGGGATCCCAAATAGCTCAACTTTTTTTGTTACCCTACAGCATTCAACAAAAGGCTTCTGCCACAGGGCCCAAGCCTTTATTCTGGAGCAGAGATCCACAGCAAGGGCCCGAGTGGCAAGGGCCTGCAGAGTTACTGGCTGGGGGCAGGGGTATGCTGGTGTTTTGTCTCCTACAGGTTCCAAGTGGCTGGTGGCGTGGTGGATAAAACCTTACC